ATCATGAACCTTGGGTTACAAGATAAATCAGCTTGTGACAATGAAGAAAATATACTGAGGTGTAATTAAAAGGCTAAATGAATGTAAATGTGTTTCTCAGCCTCTTTGTGCATTTTATGTTTTGTGTATTTAGTAGCGGACAACTGATGTGGATTTTTGTATGGCAGATGCCAGTGCCAATATTTACAGAGCTGTGTGGCAGATGGCCAATATATAATGCCAATATCAAAACAAACAAAAGTCATGTGTAATTCCTTTATCCCATGCAGAGTACCGTGTAATATACCTGGTTATCTTAGCCAGTAATGCGTTGTTTTAGGTGGAACTGTTACTAACTATAAAAATACACGTGGTTATGCTGTAGATGTCAGAACATGACTGGTGTTTAAGGAGGAGTGGGGTACAATTTGTCAGAAGGGACATTATTCAACTGCATTATTATCCACAGTTATCCAACAATATGTAGTTCACACTAGCTAGTAATGGTTTTAGATTAAATTTGGATGGGAGAAACGTGTTAACATTTAGAAAAGAGGATGGTGACTGAAGACATTTAGGGCTTGAAACTTCCTTTTTCACCACCTTCCCAAAACTCAAAGGGGGAGCACTAACATCGATCCACAGCAGCCGCACTGACAAAGCTGCCTGCAGATGTGTCCACAGACATTTAATCAGCCTCATGAGTGCAGGTATCAGACGATGCCGATAATCTCAAAATGACAGATATTGGCCCAATTAATCGGCCGATCGATAAATCTGTATATCACTAGTATTTTGTATTAATTTATTTTGCTTATTTCTCCATTTAATTCAGGCATATCAGTTATAATAGTATCTCATGTCTTTTTAACTAGAGCATCTTCTCACTGCACCAAGACTTTTTGGATCTTGTTAGTACTGAGATTGGCAAACTGCTCTTAAATATTCCAGAGTAGTCAGACTGCATTGTTCTTTCTCTGAATGGATGCTGGTCCTTGTGCTGATGTCATTGGCCTGTTTCTTATACTGTAACTTTCATGTGCTTTAATTGTTTAATATGTAGCCTACTGTCATCAGGGCGCCCTTGTAAAAGAAAAAAATAGTCCGTGCCAACATGTGAAGAGATTCAACAGATGAACCATTCATTCAAGTTTATTCTTACGTTATTAGCCTAATGTGCGTTCGTTTTCTCGTGTCAGCGCAAACGACGGAATAGAATAAAAGCCAAACTGTAACAAAAAGTCCTCAAACTTCGCTACTGACCGTATCTCGTCCATTTCCTTGCGGACACGTCTGGAGACCCGCAGCTTACATTCCAACAACCTTTTTGTGTCTGTCTGCCTCCAGCTGAGAGAACTTCAGTTTCACATCTGAAGATATAAACAGGAACAAGAGCCTGCTGTGGCAAAAGTTCTTCTTCTGCTGCTTGCAGGTCTTCTTCCTCTTTACTTCGGTTTCTCGGAAGTGCTGCCGCCCCCGGAGGACCACAGAGAGGTTTTCATGAATGCAGCTAGTCACTTAAGTGTGCCTTAATTCTTTATAACAACTCTGACATTGATTTTGTGTATTTATTTAGCAAACTGATGTTAATGATGACGAAGACGATATTTTATTGTCAAATCAAGTCTGAAATTGTTTCTGCATCACAGCAGCTTCTGAAAAGACAGAAGAGACACATTTAACACAACGTTACAATCACAGAAGACAATAATCAAGGCCCTTCAAGGTATATTTCATCTGGGACTAAGCTCCATATTTACTTTTAGGATTGACTTGTGTACAAAAGAGTGCTTCTGTCTAACCTTATTAAATTGTGGACTCATTTTTGGGAACAAATGGGAACATAAAGTTTTGGAATTGGTCCAGTAGATTGCCTCAACCAGCAGTGGTGAAGCAGGCTGCAATTGTGCCCATCAAAAGTATGTCAACCAAGTAAGTCAACATTATGTAAAGGATCCTCACAGAGATAGACATTTTTGTTAAAGAGTAAAATCATTTTTGTTTAACCAGAAACAGAGAAGGAGAAGTCTCACTTTGTAATCATGTGTGTTGTTGCAGGAACCTGAGTCAGTGAGTTGTTTTACTCACAAAAAGGTCTATCTCTGCAGGGATCCTTTCTGAGAAAATACCCCTTTGGGGATGATTATCCCCCAAATAAGAGATTGGATTTGGAGATTTTTAAATTATTACTGAAATGCTGCTTTAACAACAGTTGTTGGTGAAAGTATAAATGAAAACACACAGATTTCATACAGAGCCCAGGCTGTTGTTCTTTTAAATGTTTTGTTTTATTTATATGATTTGATTGTACGCTATCAGAAATAAGAAACAGCTTTATTGCCATATAGATTTTCACGTACAAGGAATTCGCTTGGGTGACTTGGTGTTTAACAATAAACAAAACATATAAATATAAAAATATGAAATTGACAAGATATACAAAATATAAATTTCAGATTTGTTTGTGCACACATTGACAGTATGTACAGTAAAAAAGGGGTGGGGGAGGTTTGGGGGTGCGTGAGAGTCAGGAATAGTGGACGTCCCGGGCTTTGTTGATGAGGCCAACTACAGATGGGAAGAAACTGTTCTTGTGGCGTGAGCTTTTGGTCCTGATGGACAGCAGCCTCCTGCCAGAGGGGAGTGACTGGAACAGTTTGTGTCCGGGATGGGAGGGGTTGGCCACAATCTTTCCTGCTCGCCTCGGAGTCCTGAAGGTGTGCAGGTTCTGGAGGGATGGAAGACTGCAGTCAAACACATTCTCTGCAGATGGTCTGCACCTTGTAACTCTGGTTTCGAAAGTGCTGTAGAAATAAAGTGTATTATTAGGCTATTATTATTTCTGAGTATGAGTTTTTTGATTTGCATTTGATTTTAAAATCATATCGAAATTAGCTTTTTAAAATTTTATTAATGTTACCACAAACGATTTGACCCACGGTTATGTTGAAAGCACTGCTTTTGCACACTATGTATTTCGTTTCATCATAGTACTTGCATCAAGTTGAAATGAGTCTCTGTAAAGTAAAACCTTTTCTTTTCCTCTACCAAAATGTAGTTTCACTTAAAGTCCAAAATACATATCTAAACTGTCCAGAGCAATCATTACGATAAAAGTAGTTTGAACTTGAGTGTTTGTTTTGCCATTTAACATAAAAGGAACAGTAAAACAAAATAAAAACAGCAAAATGTACTAGTTTGAAGTCGGATCAATCTATCCCTGAGCTTCAACTTCAGAAGCAAATCCTTCTTTGTAACGTTACTGGTTACAGTCAGAAGTAAAATGTTACCACACACATCATTTTCAAGAAGTGTAGGCGATGTTGCATCAATATGGGGGTAAATGGTCACAAATATGTATTACAATTTGTAAACACAAAACACGATTTGAAATCCACGAACTCTTCATGAGCCACAAATATAAAACACAATCCACAAATAGATTTGAATTCCACAAACATGTCATGATTCATAAATAACTGGTGAAACGTATCTAAGTACCTTAAACCAAGTCTAGCTGTTAACCTCCCTTGGATCACTGTAGGCAATAGGAGTTTGATTTAGCCTACCTCACTCTGCAGAGTCATCAGTGGTGCTATCTCAAGTATGAATGCTTTTAAAAATAGACATGTTAAGTATTATGGCAGAAAATATTGTCCTCTTACATTTAATCTTTTATGTATGATGTTAATATTATTATTATTACTGTTCTCGTTATGGCTTATAGATATTTATGTACTGTGTTCTTATCCTAACCTTTCCTCTCCTATACTCTTATGTTAGTCTGACCAAATTTACTAGGGTTTAGGTCAGAGCTGTGAGATAGTTTTGGTGTTTTCCCCTCTCTTGTTGTTCCTCTCCTCGCCTGGAATGTTCATTCAAGGCTGGGACAGGATCTCTGTTCCCCAAAACATAGAAACCTAGACTGTGTAAATGATGATGTATCCCTTTGCTCGGGCCCGAAGCTGTGTGTTTTAGTACTTCTCTGTTTATTCTCTTTTGTTAAATAAATTCTTCAAAGACAATGGTTGGTTGTAACTCAATTCTTTGCTCAACCCCTCACCGGGAATATAATTTCCACGACATTAAGCTTTCTTATTTTTTCAACACTTGCCTAAAACTTTGGCACAGTACTGTTGCGTTTTAATATGTCCTTTTTAATAACAAATAAAAAGAGCACTTTCTGATTTTTGCATGCACAATGTGGACAACATGTGCATTGTGTCCATGTATATATTAATAAGTGCAGGGGTGCATTGTAAACAGATTAATTTAAATCCACCTAGGCCCTATTTGCAAGATGTTTCCTCAGACAAGACACTTCACATCATCATGCTGCTACCGCTGCTAGTCCTTTGACCCATTGTTGTGTCAGCTGACAATCATTGATAGTCGGCCCTTCCTTCTGTCCTATCTGAAAATTAGTCATTAAGTCATTAAGATTACATATATGCCCCCAGTATACATGGATTGCTGAAACCACCAGGAATAAAAGAAGTGAAATGTGTCTAATCTGCAATTTGAACCGTCCCTTTCCTTCCCTCTGAATATAGATCTGTTGTTATTGTTAGGCTTCGTGGCTTGCTGCTATTTCAAACACTGTGTTTACTCTATTCAAAACATGGCATTAAATTACCGCACTGTGATTGGATTGCTGGCTGCAAAAAAGTAACGTTAACGTTTCTTCTCATCCCCTGCAGCTACGTTTCTACCTATATACTGTTTACAAATTAACTGCATTTAGAAGAAATTATTACGGTTTCCCAATTTCGAGTTAATTTGCTGTAACTAGACTAACTAGAACAGCAGACCCTTCTGTCTGTAAATGTCAAGTGAGAAGCGTCATCGTCAGACTAAACCAATCAGAAGCTTAGTAAGGCGGGTTAAATTCGCCAGCCGGCACGGATTGGACAGAGCTATACAGTAGGATTGGGCAGTCGCTCTGATTGGGTACTGACAGATCCATAAAACAAGACCCACAGCCAATCATAACAGACTGTAAAACAAGGGGCGGGGCTTAAGGTGGGCGCGGCTTGAGGTGAAACAGATCGCAGCCGGAAAAACCGCTATCAGCTAGCTAATGTTAGAGCGCTACTTCCTCTTTCCAAAGCAGTCGTTGCTGACTCGTTTTGCTGCTGGGTTTGCAGTAATAGAAGCATCCGATTCAATGAGAAGTAAGAGTTTGTCTTCTTTATATTTTGAGTTATGCATTTAATTCTGACACCTTTACTTCTTGCAACAAGAGGCTAACGTTAGCTACACCTAACTTAAAATCGTCTCTGTTTAACTTTACATTGTTTGCCTGGCACTTGAGAACAAAGCTCGGGGCATTTTCTAAACACTCAATCGCTCTTGAACTCTGCAGTGTCATGTTGGCAAAGCAAATAGAACAGATTTGTGTGAAAAGTGCTTGAGGTTCACGTCTGGTTCACCAGTTGTCCCCAGTCTCCTTTCAGCAACACGAGGAGGAGCTCTGCTTGTGTTACTAATACTTAGTAACACAACAAACAGTTTAATTGAATTAAATTATTATTATAAATAATTGCATTTGATTGAACAAAGTATGAATGTGAAGTAATATGGATTGATAAAAAATATGCATTTTGCGGTTGTTATTGTACATATAATGTCAGAGTAAGAATATTGCAATATTTAAAAAGCTGTAACAAATGGATGCACATGTTACTGCATGAGTATGTGACACAGTATGAAACAAAAAACATGCATTTCCAGCATGTGGTACTGGTGCATTGTAAAAGGGGGATGGATTTTCCCCCCTTCTTTTCGCCATGTGTCTCTCACCTGAACTGAGGAGGATTTTTGTTCTTTCCAGCTTCTGCAGCAGAGGACAGGGGACACTCCCAGCATTCACAGCAAGACTGAGAGATTAATCAGTTGCTGGACCAATCACAAGATGGACTAACCATCAACACTCTCATCGACCCCCCTCCCCTCCCCTGCCCCCTCCCCCCGACCCCTTATCCCCCACCTGTTGGGCCTTTGGGGGCTGTCAGACAGCAGGCGCGATGCCAGGCGGCCCACTATGGCGCTTCGTGTCACCTTTCAGCACCCGCCAGGAGCGAGTGGTGCTGGCTCGCAGCGAGAGCCTGCCAGGAGAGCAGGTGCTAAAGATCACAGTCACAGAGACTACAGTGATCGAGGCGGAGTCAGGGGTGTGGAATTGGCGCTCCATGACCTACCTGAGCCTCTGGTACTTCTTCAGCTTCTGCACGTTGTTCCTCAACAAGTACATCCTGTCACTGCTGGAGGGGGAGCCCAGCATGCTGGGTAAAGAGAAGGAATAATATACTTCTGCTGCTACTAATATTAATATTATTGTATAACTTTTATGTCACTGCAAGCTGATTTTTGTTAATCACTGAAATTAACGGAAACCAATGGCTGGGATACATTTGTTCAGCAGAGCTTCAACCTTTTTATTAGTCTAGCTGTGTAAATAAATAATAATAAATGTTAGGGTACAGTTGCAGCTCATGAATTTTGTTGTCCACCATTTGCTCCCCAGGTGCTGTTCAGATGCTCTCCACCACCGTCATAGGCTTCCTAAAGATGTTTGTGCCCTGTTGCCTGTACCAGCACAAGTCTAGAACCGAGTACCCCCCCAACTTCATCATGATCATGCTGTTTGTTGGACTCATGAGGTAGGTCCCCTCTCTCGATAAACAGCACGATTTCTTACATACCTTTTTTTTAAATATTTGCATGCATAAATAACAAGTACTGAGATTAGCCAAGACAGCCTTTAGAAAAACAGTTCGTAACTAACTAGTAGCTTCTAAGAAAGTAGTACAGACCTATTACTGCATTTACAAATACTGAAGCAAATCTTGATTTCGTGTTTTTCTAAAAGTCCAGTGTTGACATCATCTTTGTCCCCATTTGTCAGGTTCACCACAGTGGTTCTGGGCTTGGTGAGCCTGAAGAATGTGGCGGTGTCTTTTGCAGAGACAGTGAAGAGCTCAGCACCCATCTTCACTGTCATCATGTCCAGGCTGATCCTTGGGGAGTACACAGGTAAAGGAGACAGTACAGTCTATGTCAGGATAGCAGGGTTTAGGGGAATGTCTGTCACCTCTAATGGAAAGTTGAACGCATTGTTGGGTTTTGTCTTCTCTCAGGATTTGTTGACAATATGACATTATAGAATAACACCAGCCATATTCTTTAATGTAAATGTGACGATACTGGAACAGCATGTAGGGGTCCAAGATCCACTGAAAGAATTGTCATGGGTTAATTGAAACACATAAATCTCTGCTTCTGGGGCTCGTTGCAGGCATCTACTGGTAAAATAAAATTGACACCTGTCTAACGCCTATCTCTATACAAGGTCTGTTGCGTGTAAAACAGCAAATCTCTCAAAGCAGACCTGCTGGGCTTCTTTTTCACAAATATAAATCAGTCACTTAACTATTTTCTTGCAGTAATGCATGAAATGTGGTGAGTCAGGACTGCCACAGGAAAATCGGGTTATGGGTTTTGTGATGTTAATGGTGGATGCTGTTTGTTATCTAATTTGCAGGCCTGTGGGTGAACCTGTCCCTGTTCCCTGTCATGGCCGGCTTGGCTCTCTGCACAGCCACGGAGATCAGCTTCAACATGCTCGGCTTCTCCGCCGCTCTCTCCACCAACATCATGGACTGGTACTGCAGTGCTCGACACAGCTTTCCCGCAACAGTATGATGCTATATTTAACCCTTTGACTCTGATCTCAGTTTGCAGAACGTGTTCTCCAAAAAACTGCTAAGTGGAGACACATACAGGTTCAGGTAAAAGACTCAGAATCCTCCTATTTTTGACTGTAAAATTACATAATTTTATGCTGTCAAACACTTGTTATAAAAACTCTGTCAACATATTCCAGCCCTCCAGAACTGCAGTTCTATACCAGTGCAGCAGCAGTCATCATGCTTATACCTGCCTGGGTGTTCCTCTTGGTAGGTCAACACACAATTATACAATGATTACAATTATTGTTTTATTGAATTGTTGTTACAGTTGGGCAAGTGTTATTACAGTATGTTATGTTATTTACCTAAAATCTGCAGTAATGTTTAGAATTACATATTTTCACGTATTACGCTGCCAATTGCTTTCAGATATTGGATAAAAGTCAAAGACAAAGTAGAAAAAAGAAGAAAACAGGCAAACTGTACAACAGATTTGGTGATGGTTTATTCATTCACAATAGAGGCTGTGTCAGGATTGACGGTTGAGGCACCAGTTGTGATGTTGATGTTAATAGTTGCGGCGCTCCGTCTCCATCTTTCCAGGACATCCCATTGATTGGGAAGAGTGGGCGGAGCTTCATCTGGAGTCAAGACATTATCTTGTTGCTGATTTTCGACGGCACCCTGTTCCACCTGCAGAGTGTCACTGCCTATGCTCTCATGGGACGGATTTCCCCAGTTACCTTCAGGTAAGAGACAGGCACAAAAAAAAAAAAACATTCATAACATGGCTCTAAATCTGTAAAAGCCTTTTGTGGCTTCAGGACACCGCACTAAACCGAAATAACTGTCACCATCTTGAAATGATGAGTCCATGGTGTCACATTTACCTGCTGAACATGCAGAGCCTGTGGCCCAACAATGTTGTGACATTTAAATAATACTCAATTAGCCTAATGTGTGCCGAGAAATCAGTGCCAACACCATTCCACTGCTACCAATAATCTGTGCTGTTTTTATCCAATCAACTCTCTACATTGACATGCAGTGTTTTTGCATACAGACCCGCCTCGCCCTGATTCCCCTTTTTAATCACACCATTCTTTGTAAACTCTTGACACGAAAATCCCAATTGTTTTCTGTGTTCGGGGTCACTTGGAGTGCACACCTTGCTCATTTTAATGCGGAGGTTTTCAAACTGTGACGTGTGCCTTCCCAAGTGGAGAGAGGTGAGGCGTCAGCTGCGCTTTATGCTAAAAATCGTACTGCTTCTTGGAGCCGTAACTCAGTCAAATCTTATATCTGCTTAGATATCATAGAAAAACCATGTTTCCCATAACAGATAATGGTCTCTTCCCGGCCATGAATTTGATTAATTTGATGGTAATGCCAACAGTAACGACCCTCATCATTTCTCTCTTCCTCAGTGTTGCCAGTACTGTCAAACACGCCCTGTCTGTTTGGCTGAGCATCATTGTGTTCAGTAACCAGATCACTGTCCTCAGTGCCACTGGTACTGTCCTTGTGTTCATCGGGGTCTTCTTGTACAACAAGTCCAGGCAGATCCAGAGGCAAACTTTACAAGCCACGGCTGCTGAGCAGAATCACAAACCTCTATTGCAGGACCAGAACTTCCAAGCCTCACAGTCTCAGTGAGGACCCAGCCTTTAAGACTAACATGCTGCCTGAAAATGGGATTAAGGTATTAACAATATTCAGTTTGTCTTACTTTGACTGTACAGACTGGATGACTTGATATTTGTTCTTCACCTTGCCCACATTCCAGTTAAACAGGACGCATGTTTTTCCATGTTCCATTTAGTGTCACTGTCGTGTCTTAAAGCTTAAAGTAAACTTTGGTGACTGGCTTGGTAAATGTCTGTGTCTGTTTGACTCAGCCGTCACTAGTCCTGTGGAACGGTATATAAAGTATGGCCCTAACCTTACATTCTTTAAACATCCATGATCCTTTTATTTGTCTTATATCTGTCAATAAAAATGCAAGCTCAGGGCGTCCTTCAGCTTTTTGAAGGAAGTGACTTCTGTAAGCTTTTGCAGTAGCATTCCAGAGTGTGCTGGTTTATCTGTCATCTGTGGTGCAGCAGCTGCTGAATGTACGCTATTGTGAATATCTGTAAAGCATGAAAGCTGTAAGATTGTTTTATTTTGTGACAGTGTTCACTGTATCATACAATGTAAATTTTATCTTGATTGCATCTGAATATAAGATGTGAATAGGGCACCGGTGCCTGAGACGGGAGCCCTTTGGAGGCACATTTTTAAACAATGTGTGGAAGCCACATACTGCATTCTAGGAATGCTCATCCTCTATCATGAGCTGCAAGTGTATGTAGGGGTTTATGTTTGTGCATTTTCTTATTGATTTACTTTGGTAATTGATTCCCCCCCAATGCATTCAGGCAAAGGGCCTTAGAGAATGAATGGATCGATGAGCTTTTGTATATTACACGTTTGTAATCTAATAAGAAAAATGACTTTTTGAAAGTTAGGTTTTATTTTCGTAGCTCAACCCATCTGTCAGATGATCAAACAGGCTTTAAACACACCAAACAAAGTAAACATAAAATAAGAAGGCAAACTGTAGAATGAATACACAACCTGTGGTAAACATCCAACAGTTTACAACACTTCCTGGTTCATCTTTCACCTACAATTCTTATCATAGTTGTTCGCATGTTGTTTTCTTGCACAATGAGGAATTATTAGCAACATTACACATGAGCTCACTCATGGTTCTTATGGGAATGTATGTGGCATAGCGGTCTGCTTGTTGCTTTTGTTTCTTGCCCCGTTGGATTTTTTTTATCAGTGTCGCCATGTTCCAAGATCTCAGGTGAAGTTTTCCTTTAAACAAAAAAGCTTTATACCACATGCATCAAACCCTTGTTCATTTATACTTGTAGGATTAAATGTAAAAGCTATGCCTGTGAGCCATCTTGTGTTTGTTGCTGCTTTTAAACCTACATCAGCTGTTTATGAATACGTTCATAAGAGCTATGACCACATTGCAGTTTAAATTCAATAAGTTTCATTTCCGTCCTTGTATTTCAGCGTCTATAGTGAATGCAAAGTTTCTTCCACAGATGTCTTTCCTCTAGAGGAACAAATTAGTGCCAAAAACAGCTGCATGGTGCCCTTAATCTCACATGTAAATGAATCTTATTCTTACCAGACTGCTTCAATCAGTGCAAGGACCTGTCATCGTCAGTCTGACACTCAGTTTGCTTTTTTGGTAAGCATTTTAGTAAAGCTCTACTTTTGCTGCAGTTTTTGTGCCTCAAGAAGCAGTTTTTTTCTCTCTTGAATTCGACCATAAGGTTTGTCTGACTTGTGATTCTACGTGGTAATTTCTGTTTTGAGAATTTGTTTCTCTGTAAAGTAAAAAGCAGGCGTGGGTTTAGATTTAATATTGAGATCCTATGAATATATCTTTTTACACTGATCTTCCATATTAAGTCTTTGAAAGGCTGCTTCAAGAGGCAAGTTCCAACATGCAGTTCAGAAGTGGAGTGTTGAGGTAGAAGATCAGTTATGAGCTGTATGTTTGGGAATGTGCAAATCAGATGGACAAATTATTGACTTATGTATCTCAGTGAGTATGTAATGACATTTGGTGGAAAATAAAAAATGTTTTCTCTGCAGCACATTGTGTAAACTTGCAGGCAACACAAACTGTAAACACAACACGGAAATATTATCATCTTTACAATGTGTATATGGCAAAAGTATTAGCAAACATGGAGCGGGATTAGGATTAATTTGGAGTTACATTTCTGACCAGACGAATATTCACTTTCCTTCTGGCTCTGTTTTTAGCCTCTACTGACTCTTGAGCTAAATATCTGTCTTCTCTTACACTGACATCCTAAACAGTCGTAAAATCAAAACGATGAGGAGCAGGCAGGAGTTACCACAAACCATTCAACACCTTAAGATCTCTGCTGATACAGAACAGGACTCGACCTTGGACAGAAAAACTGGAGTGATGTTTGACATTGACTAGAGACTGAACCAACCCCGGAAACATAAACATCTGCTGTCTGTGAACAGAGAACCAAAACTGGTTACAGCTTCGACCTTAGAGCAACAGATGAGGGGTCTAATTTCCAGGATGGACAGACATGCAGTAAGGGCCATGTGTATAGAGTAGACAGAAGTAGCAGCGTATTCAAATGGCACAAAGTCTGTTCATTTACAATGATTTGAGTCCTAACATTTGGGGACTTCCTGACCTTTACTCGTTTTAATGCCAGTGACTGTCACACATGGTAATGTTCCACCTTTTCTGATACAGTTTGTTAACGTGTGGCCTTCAAACAATTTCTAGGAGGGTTAGACCAGTCACCAATACTGAAATACACTCCTTTTTTTGTATTGTTTATTTAATAGGGGCTCCTTCATTGTTTGTCGAGTTGATGCAATTGAAATGGTTTGAAATAAAAAATCACATTTTGTCAAGTAAAACTGATTTGATTTATCCATTTGCTGTCAAGAGTGAGGTCATCTTGCTGGTGGACAGAAAATCTGCATCAGACTCTCGTAGGTGAGGAAGGTGACGGCATTGACGGGGAAGGCCCTCATGCTGTTCAGTAGTAGTCCTTTGAAAAAGACCCTTAGTCCCTCCTCTCTGACGCTCACTCTCATGCAGTGGAGGACCCCGCTGTACTCTCGGCCGCCGGCCCCCGACATCTGGAGCCGGGCTTTCACTACGTCCATGGGCGTGGCAAAGGCCCAGGTCACCACGCCCGCCACGCCACCTGCCATCAATATTGCAAACGTACCTGAGGACAGAAACATTTAGTGAATAATGTAAATCTTTGAAGTCACGCTTGCATTGAAGAATGGCTGTAGATTAAATGAAACCTGCACATTTCGAAGTGCTGAAAACTATAACCAAACTTGACAGAAGTTAACAAAAACTGCACTCAGTGATGCTACATCTATTGCTTTTATATGGAAGCCCAAGAAAAAAAGAACAAAATTCATGGTAAATTCTGAGAAAAAGTGTGCGAAACTTTAGATACTAAGTTAACATCAAGACTTTATTATCTGTATCTTTTCTGGTAGTATCTCATAATTTCAGATTTGAACTTAAAAAGTTCCAATTTTGGCTAAGCTTCTCATCACTTTACCAAATCATTACATCGATTTACCATGAGTATTTTTTATTTTAATTCCAACATTTCATCCATTATTTTTTCCTGACAGAAATGACCTCAACTGAACTGTTGACTCTGAAATTGACCTGGCTGTTTGCCGCTCTTAGTCAGAGCCTTTCGAATGACTTCGTAAGGCAAGAAGTAGATCCCATAGCAGGGTATGTCCCTCAGGGCCAGGGCCAGCCCCCCTCTGAACAGACCCCTGGGTCCTTCCTCCTTCAGGATGACGGCAACACAGTGAAGAGGTCCACGGTATCGGTCAGCAGTTATTTGACCCTGCAGGCGCACCTTCACCAGGTCAATAGGTGCAGAAAAAAACACCTGAAAGCAGATCAAGTTAAACAGTGAGTCCACCCAAATTATCCCAAATTATTTCAAGCCATGAGAATTTAGTTTTAGTGCTAAACTGTTATTTTAGTTAATACATAAAAATACATCACTTTAAAGAATATGCCTATTGATATTCTAGATTCCAACAAATCCCATGAAAATACTAAAACTAACTCGTCCTGCCTGTGTAGCCTGATATATTTCATTCCTCAGTGCCATCAAGCTCCATACATTATACAATACTGTCTGTCCCTGCAGAGTGTGGCTCATTTAATTATTCATCCATGTTATGTCAGAAAATGTTGTTTCAGACAAACACGATATTTTATGCAACAGTATTAGTTCCTCCTGCTTTTGTATTTTAAGAAGGAATTCACCAACATAGAGCAGACTTCTGTCGAACAATCACTGTGCACACAGTAAACCTTGCTCATGGAACACAAAAACATTCACAACAGAAGATTCAGGTGCTCCCTTTCTCTTTGTTCAAGAGCTCTCTCCAATTGTACTGGATTCATTTCAAAAGAGGGTAGGCCAAATAGTGTACAGAACTGGAACAAAATATAGCTGGTGCCAAGAAATAAACAGCCACCTCTCTAATGCTTAAAAATATAGACCATCGCTACAATATTTTAACCAACATTACAAACCGGAGCAGAGAGCAGACCTTCTGCAAAATGTAGATAAATATGGTCAGTATAGGTCATTCTTGGTTAGGAACTTCTTGGAGGCTTCCTGGTGGTCAGATAATCAATCATTCAAAACTTTATTACAGACAAATGGTCCAGGTCTCACCCACAGAAATACACAAATACTTACTCACATACACATGTGCATATTGTACATACATACAGAAAACACCATAATACATGGTTTAAACAGCTAAAAGAAAAATGAGTGCCCTACCATGAGACAATTGTTACAATGTTTCCACATACAGAATTGGTAACGTAGTATTTAGCCGTATGTTTGTCAAGCCCAGAATTATCTGATTTTCTGAATCATTAAGCCGGCACATGAAATTATAAATGAGTTTTTTTTATGACAGCATGAAAGGTCTTTGCTACTGCAGCCAAAACATTTTGCTTCCACAACACCATCTTGGTCTCTTGATTGATATTCTCACTGCATCGTTATATGCTACTTTAACTTTCTGTAGACTTGTACGGATGGAGCAAAGATATCCCTGTTCAAAGCATACTGTGCACCACTCAATCCTGCGCACTTGTCGTCAAATTGTAGGTAGGCTACACTTCATCCCGGTAATGACAGACAAATCCTCCCCACTCATTCATTACTTTCAGGCAACTCTTTATGTTGTTGACTTCTTTCTGTGGCCCTGTATGGGAGACAGTAGGGCCTAGTTCAAACAACACTTCCACTTCTTGGAAGACATTCCACTCAAATACTTCCTCCAGCTCCATCAGGTCAGAATTCATTCTTCCCGAACACTTCAGTCCGTGACATGATTCCAGATTCCCCATAAGCTGTCCTAAAGTATGGTATTTGTGGTTCTCGCAGAATGAATTTGAATGATTTTGGCGTCCCTTGAATTTTTTATGTAGTTTCACACTCAGGTTAAAATTCCTCCGTGCCTTACAGTCAGTGACAAGGTATGTTGACAACTACTTAAAGCTTACAGCTTTTACTGGAGGGTCCTCACCTCGGAACACAGAACGGGGCCGATAAGTGGCGGATGATTGGATGTCCGAGCCGGTCTGACTGGATTGCTCTTCCCTACCCTAAAACCATTCTCCACAGTGGGAGGCGTTAAGGACACAAAAGCTGTTTGCCAACCTCCAATAAAACCAAAAGAAGGAGAAAAAACATTCTGACCGCCATTTTTGTCCTTTTGTCAGCCTACTGAAGGTGAGATAAAGGTATGTATTATATTCAGTCCATGATACATATATTTAGCTCACGTTCGGTCGTTCCCTTTCAACTGTCATACTGTGCATACTTTTCCCTCCTTCTATGAAAGGCAGTGTATTTAAAATATATGAACTAGATAGGCATAGTAATGAATGATAATGATACAGTACGTATTATTATAATATTTATTTATAATACATATAAATCATAATAAATTATTAAAATAAATGAATATTATTTAATAACAAACTTATATACACTAGAATACACTATAAGAAATATGCATGTGACATGGGGACAAACAATATATCAGCTTTAATTCTACATTATTGTGACGACCCCTGTAGGGCTATCTTGTATAACTCTCTCTGTGCTTCTTATTAGGTAATCGTGAACACCTGAGGGCCCCAGGGTGTGCAGATTATTTAAGCCGGCACTAGTGCAGTTTCGGTGCGCGCTCTTCCCCCTCACTCTTCTCTTTTCTTCGTCGGCAGAGGCGTCCCCCGTCAAGGATGTGCCGTCGGTCATTTTGAGTTCTTGTTGTTTTATTTCTACATTTCAACACCTTCACCTACACCTAACACTACTGACTGGACTGATTTTCACATGACATATTTTGGTTTATGTTATAGTAAAATTTATTGTTTACTCTTTGTTAAAAATAAATTACTTTTGTTAAACTTTTAGTAGGCCTGCGGTGTGTCTCCATATTTTGTAACGGTCCATGAGCCAGATCGTGACAAATGGGGGCTCGTCCATTTGGGTAAGTTGTAGACTATTTAGTTGTTTAGATTAATTTATTAGAAAGTTTGGTTGACACGTGGTTGGCCGGACGATTAGTCACCGGTGCGCGTGTGGGTAGGTTGTTTGGTTTTGGAGACGCACCACACTCTTGAGGTGGGTGTGTTGCCTCGTTTTTCACGGGAGTCGTTTGGTCATGGTCCAAAGAGAAGGTAAGTGTGCTTCCCTGATGCGCTGGGTTTTGGAGTTTCCCCTGGTAGGATTAATGGCGTTTCCCCTTGGGGTTGCGTCAGTTTTTTTTTTTTGTTTGTTTAATGTTGTGGCAACGTGGTTAGTGTCAGCTGTTCTTTGGACAGCTGTCTCGGGAGCACGTCCGCGTGATTTTGTGAAGTTGCCTGGTAACAGGTCGCTTTACAAATCCGCTGGTTTCCAGTGCGTAAATACCCGCCGCAAGCCGCATGAAGACTAGGGGTGAGTTTTTGTAAGATTTGGCTAGGCAGTTAGGGGGGAATATTCCTGAGGCTGGTCGGGCCTCACGCATGCGTTCGGGTTGTTACACTGTGCATTCTGTTGGATCCAGTTGGTAAAGTATGGCTTCCGTTTTGGAATTTTTTTGAGTCGCCGTCAGACACGTTTATTAAATACTGTACGAAGGAACAGATATGTTGCAGATAGCTGAGCATTATAGTATTGCTGTATCTGATAAGAAACTTAAAGATGAAGTAAAAAGTGCTGTCTTATCCGCTTTATGGAAGACGGGGGTCTTGCGGAAAGAAGAGTGTTTGTCGGACGTGGCAATGTCAGAGTCCGTGTTGATGTCGGGGTTGACGTTTGAGCAGCGAAAGGAGTTACTGATGCTTCAGCTGAAGGAAGAAACAGAGCGCCAGGTTACGTTGGAAAAAGTAAGGCAGCAAACGGAGGTAAAGAAATTGGAGCTGCAGGAGTATAAATTAAAGTTGATTAGAGATGGTAGGATTTCATCTGATGTGTCGGGTAATGAACAGTCATTTTCTTCGGAAGTTGCCCAGTGTTCTGTGAATGTTGGGGCTAGTTTGCGTCTGGTGCCAAAATTTAATGAAAAGGATCCGGACACATTCTTTAACCTTTTTTGAGCGAGTGGCTGATGCGAAAAATTGGCCGGATGCGGACAGGATTTTACTGCTGCAGTGCGTCCTGACTGGAAGGGCCCAGGAAGCCTATTCAGCATTAAGTGGTAGTAGTAGTTTAAATTATGAAACTGTAAAATCGGCTGTCCTAAAAGCGTATGAATTGGTCCCTGAGGCTTATCGTCAGAAATTTAGAAACTGGGAAAAGGGCGATAGACAGACTAATGTGGAATATGCTCGTGACCTGTTGTCTCACTTTAATCGTTGGTGCGCCGCTGCTAAAGTTCACACATTTGAGGGTCTGTGTGAATTAATTGTGTTGGAGCAGTTTAAGAATTCCATTCCTCAGCGTGTGGCCACGTATGTGAGTGAGCAGAAGGCAACTACGGTACTTAAAGCGGCTGAGTTAGCAGATGATTTTTTTTTTTCTTAACACATAAGGGATGTTTTGGGGATGTGAGTTTTGGGGGTGACTTAAGACGTAGAAGTATGGCAATTCTCGTCATAGCGCTCCGTTGATGGCTGGTCCCTCACATGTGCCCAAACCTTTGCGCAGTACAGATGAGAGCAGCAAGGTGTGCCATTACTGTCAAGATTCTGGCCACTGGAAAGATCACTGCCCTGTTTTAAGGTCTAGAAGTAGACGTAAATCTTTTGCGCAATCATCTGCTCCTGCTCTGGCCTGCTCCAGTGTTTCAAAACTAAAGCCCATATGTGTTGACCTGGGTTCTGGTAATGGCTTTGAACCGTTTATTGCTGATGCAGTGGTGTCTTTGGTTGGTAAGGAGGAGCTTGTGCCAATAAAGATTTTGCGTGATACAGGCGCTAAACATTCATTTATTGTACAGTCTGTATTGTCTTTTTCATCTGCTACAGAAACGGATTTCATTTTGATGCAGGGGATGGAGATGGGCCTGATACCTGTACCGCGGCATAAGATGATGTTAGAGTGCGATTTGGGGACCGGTGTTGTTGCTGTTGGCGTGCGTCCTGCACTGCCTATCGATGGTGTAGCGATGATTTTGGGGAACGATCTGGCTGGTGGTGCAGTGTGGGCAGATGGGCCGCCGTCTCCTGTGGTGGTTTTTAAACCGCTGACATCGGATGATTATGGAGAAAGTGGTCGGAGTTTTCCGGAGGTGTTTCCAGCCTGTGCCGTAACGCGTGCACAGAGCCGGGTGGCCGCTCCAGGCGCGCCTGAGCCAAGTGTTGACGTAGAGTGTGGGATTACTTTTCCTACTCTTCCTCCGTCTGTTTCTCGGGATGACTGGGTGAAAAGCCAGCAGACTGATCAGTCTTTGCTCAGTTTATTGAGTGGTGTCCTCCCTGAGAGTGAGATTAAAAATGTCGCTCATGGTTATTTTTTGCAGGACGGATTGCTTGTGCGGAAATGGGTGCCATGCCACGGAGATGTTGTCGGTGAGCCGGTGTTTCAGATCGTTGTGCCTGAGGATTTTCGTAATCTGGTGTTGAAAATTGCTCATGATGAGTCAGGACATCTAGGGGTGAGAAAAACGTATGACCGTGTCCTGCGGTGTTTTTTTTTTTTTTTTTTGGCCAAAATTGAAGCGCGAGGTTTCCAAATATATTAAGTCGTGTCACATCTGCCAGCGCCACTCTGTAAAGTAATTTATTGTTTACTCTTTGTTAAAAATAAATTACTTTTTGTTAAACTTTTAGTAGGCCTGCGGTGTGTCTCCATATTTTGTCACGGTCCATGAGCCAGATCGTGACATATGTACAGTTGATGATGTATGTGCATAGTACTGCCACAATGCAGAGGTGGTATTAAAAGGTAAATTTAAAATATATTTATGCATTTAATTAATCATTCATTTTAAATGTAAGATCATTATATTTGTGTGCGTCCAGATTTGTATTTGTACTTCTTGCAGTTGTCCAGCAGATGGTGGTGTTTGTATCATTAGGATCCATATATCTGACTCTACTCCATTTCACGTGCTGCAGCCAGGGGTTATAGCTGGCGGCTGGCCACACCAAAGTTCAAACCAAACACATTCTTAACCCTGTTCTAAACAGACCCTTTTGTTTTACGGCATGTAAGGAACAAGTCTTATTTTCATACAACATCTGAATTCCCCTTAGAGCTCCTCCTCTTCCTCCTCATAGCTTGTGAACACACATGCTACATGAAACTTCAAATAATTTGCTGTTACCTCTGTGAATTGACAGTTTACACAACCTGAGAATGGTCAGTTTAGCACGTTGACCTATTATTTGGAGCCGCAACAGTCATTATACTAGTACATGCAGCTATGGTCCTGCAACGTGCTTTGGATTATCCAACCAGCGAACTTCAGGTGAAGTTCAGGTGGTGCAGGCTTACCTGCACCAGGCCCGAGAAGCAGCCGGCAGTGAAGACTTGTGCAGCAGAAGCCGGTTTGCCTTGACTACGGTCAATGCGCTGAGATTGAGTGAGGTAATCTAAAGCACAGCTGTAAGAGCCAAAGACTATGGAGTTGGTCATGCCCGTGGTCAGCACTGGAAATGCCATGCCCTTGAAGAATCCATGGAGCTGATATAATAAAGGCAAAATAAACAGATAAGCATGCACCAATACTTTGTCATATGTTTTCTGGTAGAGGCTGAGGAGCTATTTGCAGAGGAGATGACACCTACCCCTTCATGAGAGTATGTTTTTGCCATACAGTGAAATATCCCTTTATACACAGACTGGGCCTGCAGGCGAACCTACAAATGAAACACGAGGTGTTAGAAAAAGTTTGTGTTAATCGTGTTTTTGTGTTTCATTGTGACAGGCAACCTTTATGGTGTCCAGTGGATGTCCAACTGCCAGTCCCACTGCACCTAAAATAACCAGCAAGAAAGTGTTATTTCTCCTAATGTATACAATACTATACTGTATTTAATCAACTTCTCTGTTTCATCACTGTTTGTTTTTTTTTATACCTGAAATACTCCCAGCTATGAATTCCAAAAAAGGCATGACTTGCACAATTCCACAACCTGCAAAGTAGACCAAAGTGTTTGACCTGTTATAAAGATAGGTTGAAAATTCAGCTTTATAGCAGCTGTAAAGTTGAATTTTCAACCTAACTGATGATCTGACAGGCGAGGATAGTTAACATATAGGCCCAGGCACGTGCACACATCATCACTGATTTTTTTATAAATGAATATACAGTATATTTATTCCTGTTTCCAACAGATTCCCTGTCAAACAAATATATTTATTGGGAAAAATCTAAAAACAGGCTATCAGCTCAGAGGATGAGACTTTGGAGTTCCGATGCCTTCTCTCTCTCTCTCTCTCTCTCTCTCCAGCTTCTCTCCCAGCAGTGTGTTTTTCTTGGCTTGTGTGGAGGTGAGTGGTGATAAACAAAAGACTAAACTACCAGTGCCTCGAGTTTACCGCTAATTAAACACATAACTAACGCATGACTCATGAGCTGAGCTAATGTAATAAGTTAGCTGAAGTTTAGCTAAGGCAATATCTAATGGCCATATAACCTAATATACTGATGGAGACACTACAGGTGAACACAGTAACATTCGTGTCTAATAACGTCATCACAATCGCCACATTGCAAATATACATATGCAAATTAAATTAAAATGCGCCTATTTGCACACATACCACATACCAAAGAACTTCCCCAGTTAATGACTTGCATCAAGAGCATTTTCCTCTGAAATTAGCTTGTTTTGGTTAATATAGAATAAATCTACAGATGTAAACGCTCTGTACTTGTATAGCGCCTTTCTAGTCTTTTCACCAGTCACACACTGAGCCTAAGTGCTCAAACGGAAACTAACATTCACACTCATTCATACACTGGCGGAATAGCCGCCAGGGGCAATTCGGGGTTCAGTATCAAGGAAACTTCGACACGCAACCAGGGGGAGCCAGGGATTGAACCGCCGACCTTCCGATTAACGGCCAACCCGCTCTACCTCCTGAGCCACAGCCGCCCCAGATGCAAACAGACGGAGGTTATTAGGCTTAAAACAGACACCATCTAAATGTGTGTTCTTGAAGTTTTATTTCCATTAGAGTAAAAGAAGACATGGAAGCAAAATAGACCAAAGTCTCAAAATTGACCACTCCATGAAAAAGTGCCTTAAAGAGTAACTTCATAGTTTTGATGGTCGGCTCCTCATCTAATAACTCTCCATTCTATTAGTTTGTTACAGACAGCCCTCCCTCAAATGTGAAACTAAGTCCATGTCACCATCAGTAATTGTGTGTGTGTGTGTGTGTGCGTGCGCATGTGCATGGTAAATGTAATATAATAGCAACAATAATAAAGTATTTGATCAATACATTAATGTATTAAGGCAATTCAGTATTCTGTTGCTTGGCTGTGTGAAGCTGGAGGTTATCTTTACTCATTTGGCATCTTGCTTGTGAAACAAAAAGTAAAAGTATTTAAATAACATTTATTTTAATTATGCCTGCAGACCAATGCCACAGTTTAGTGTGAAGATTTATGTGAAGTGTTATGTATTGCAATAACACCAAAAGAATTGAAACAATTTATTGCCTTGTGAAAAATAAACAAATTATTAATGAAACTAAGTCATAAATATATACTTGAAACCAGTAGCATAGAAAACATGCACATTGTGGCATAGTTTGCTTTGCTGTCGCCTGCTCCTGTGATAAACCTAATGAATACTAAAGACCGTGGTCTCTGTGTGAACTGAATATTTTGTAGAAAAGTAAAAATGTTGTTGAATTAATATATTTGTCTTGTTTTAGATTTGAGCCCCTGCCCACCAAAATGTCTGTGCTCTACCCTGTATAGGCCTATGGCTGAGAAGTTTTGATAAGGCATTTGTTGAACAAATCAATGAATGTCCACGGTGGAAAAATCCTGTTAAGCTGTAATAACAATGTAAAACTGAATGGAATTTGCAATTGTACCACGGCTCTTGTATAGGGCATAACATCATATACATAAGGACAGTTTTCGTGCATTTCCCACAACTATTCATTTGACTTTACCTCCGTGTTTAAAGTTAGCCTGTCCAATATCAGTTTAAAACAAAGCATTCCCGTGTAAAAAAAAAAAGAAAACGTTGGGCTACATCATGCTTTTTTTGTTTGTTAGACCACCTTGCCTACCTTTCGTGAGAATCACCTCATTGTATCGTCCATCTCAGCTCAATGTAAACCGAACCTTTTTCCGGTGGGGGAAAAGTCTATAGGCTTTTCACTCATTCGAACTTCCTGAAGCAAAACTTTGTTAAAACACAAAAAACGACGCTTCTTTCCTATCATAGTAAGGCAGACAACGAGCAACAACCATAGACTGTAAAAAAAAAATAATATATATATATATATACACACACACAGTATATAGCCTATATATAATATATATATAACGTAATTTTCATCCAAACGAGCCGTCCTCCTAGCTTTACAATTGGTCTGTGCAGCCGGTGTTCTGACGATCTATGCTGCCTTGTCGAAAAATGCTACCGTAGCGCAAATCGACAGCAGAGTCTGTCGAGTCGCTCTGCCCTATCAAAAATAAAGTTATAACTCTCACAGTATTATGACATAATCTGTTTTTTGATTATATTATAACATCATTTCAGGGGTAGTGTATTCTGATCTATCCCCTATCAAATAATGCTCCCACCACAGAATCATTTTATATTGCACCACTACTCACTCCATGTGTACTGTACGGAGATGGGGAGCATGTTGAAATACTATATTATGCCATCTTTATTTTTATGTTATCAGCTACTTTCTCGACGGCATTCCCAACAGCAAGGTTGCACAGATGTATGGGCGTGGAAAGGAACCACGTTTGTGGTTTATACGCATGCGCAGAACCCCTAAGTAGCACATCTCGATATGTTGCATAAATCGACAGAACACCTGTTATACCGGCTGTGAGACGAGCGCGCAGGGACCGTCTAAAAAGTGCAACGCCTGTAAGAGACAGGCCTACTATACATTAAATACCTTCACTCTTATACAATAGCCTACAGCGTCACCAAAATCACTTAACACATCAGAGATCTCCTCTTGGTTATACTATGCTATAACACTTTGGGAAAAGGCGGCTTTTCACTGGTCACTAAGCATCTCATGGCTGCCCATGGCCTTTAAACAAATCAAATGAAGGATGCATAGGGTGACTATGTCACCAGCAGAAATACAACAAGAGGTAGTGTAGCTATTCAAGAAGTGTGTGTTTTACCATAGGCCTATCTATTTTTCAATTTTAATATAATTTTACTGTATCACAAATTTTTTTAAATTTATGTCTTAAACACACTGCTTGTCATTTTTTTTGCTATGTGTGTGTAGTTCCTTGAAAATCATTGGCGAGTTCAGCGCAGACAAAATGTTTTTTTCAACGGAACGGTGGTTCCCTGAACACCCTGTTGTGTACGCAAGTTCACTGCATTTCCCTGCCTTCTTAACATCGCTGTGTTTACACACTTGTCAAAGCTCATTGGGTAACACCCGAGACACGCCCACCAAACGGGAAAAAACATACCTCGAAGCCGTTGCAAGGAAACATGTCGTTCAATCCAAAAATGTTGCAAACCAGTGCTAAACGTTTTGAGATTGAACTCGCCCCAGATGAGTGCAATAGCGGAGCCAATGGGGTGGCCTTAAAGTCTGCCCACCCCACACAGCACCTTATTTCCTGTCGCTTATTTTTTTTATTGACAAATAGGCTGTGTCCGAAATCACCCACTACCATTTTGTAGTGCTGTCTGAATGCATTGTGATAAATATTATACCCTATATAGTCCACTCAATGTATCCCAGAATGCATTTTGAAAAGTAGTGTACAACCACTGGTCACTAACCAAGCCGTATACCATCATGCATTGCGTTGACAGAAAAAACTGATTGTCCGATGGCAATGACGTAATTAACGGCGCTGAAATAACATCGGAGTAGTGTCCGAAAGTGTTGTTTAAATAATGTGAGTGAGCTCTCTATAGAGAACCTAAGTCACTCACTTCCGCTTCCGGCTCATGGGACCTTATTTTGGAAACATTATGTACGGTAGTCAAGAGACAACTTTTTTTTTATCCCATTAGAATTGAACCCTGAATTACACAAATGATGTTGGTCAATTTAAAATAGAATTTTGCAAGTCAAGAAAGTTGCATTTTGTCGTAAAACAGTAAAGTTACATGTCGTTTTGTTTCTCTGTGACCAGCAGGATGTGAAACTGGGATGCAGCTCAGTGCACACCAATTTACAGTATTTTTCTAATTCAAAGAGTTGTAAAAAATACTGTCTAAGTAAGTATAACCAACAGTGAACCTTCTGAATATTTGTCTCCCCAAACAATGCCAAAGCATTCACCCCTCCTTCAATTCAATTCAATTTCAATTCAATTCAATTTTATTTATATAGCGCCAAATCACAACAACAGTTATCTCACAGCGCCTTCAAACTAAGAGTTGTAGTAACTAACAGGAGAGGACGCTACACTGTGTGACCGTTATTTAACATTTCTGTAGGATCTCTTTTGCACTTTTGAGACGATCCCTGCGACATCATGTCACGTGCAGCTGGGGCGAGTTCAATCTCAAAGGGTTTTGTTACGTTTAGTTGGCGCTGAACTCGCCCCTGGTTTCTAGCTATATGCAACATTTTCCATAGCCAGTGGTATTTTGTGTTCGTAGCAATTTCAATTAACCCACAGAATCTCAAAAAATTTTGGCCAAGCAACGTCATCAGTAGTGGACACTCAGTTTGTAAACAACGAGTGACGTCGTATGTAATGTGCGACGAAGCTTGGGAACGGAGGAAAAGCCGCGTTTCGGGTCACATTTTCAGTTTCTTTAAAACCTGCCTCCATTTCCATTTAGTCTTCCGTATATATTTGTATAAACTGAAATTTTACTTTTCATTCGCACTGGTTGACATCTTAAAGCCAGGCAGCAACAAAAGAAGGATATCTAACAACCAAAGCCAGCCAGCTAATGGACGCTTGACAGACTGCCGCTTTACTAACGTAGCGTTAGCTAGCTTGACATTTAGCTATTTATTTTGGGAAAGAAATATGACAACTCTAACAAGGCAAGACCTAAATTTTGGACAAGGTAAGAACCAAACTAACCAGTAGCATGAGCTAGGTTCATAGCCCCTAGTTTGTAACGAATGCCTCCAAAATCCAGTTGATATATTTGGCAATTAAGTTTGACCTCGCTTAGGAGTAACGTTAGATATTCCATTAACATACACGCGGAATCATAGATATATGCTGATCTGTTCAGCATAACCTAATACAAGTTAGCGTTTTCACCCCTTAGTTGCTGTCGCCCTGTGTTGCTTGTCGTTTAGTTAGTTGTGGGCTATTAACTTACGGCAACACTAAATTGCCGGCTATTTGCATTGAGTTTGGTGGTACTTTTGTCATAGAATGCGTAAGAGATCTTATTATCCAGTAGATTCCTCTCTTACAGTGGTTGCTGACATCCTGTGCGAGTTCCTGGAGGTCGCTATTCATCTCATCCTGTATGTTCGTGAAGTGTATCCCTCTGGAATATTTCAGAAGAGAAAGAAATACAACGTGCCTGTGCAGGTACAGATGCATATACCTGTAATTATATGCTCACAGTTTTTAGAAAGGCGTACTTATTTGCATCTCTCATACTGGATTTTTCCAGATGTCATGTCACCCAGAGCTGAATCAGTATATCCAAGATACACTTCACTGTGTGAAGCCACTCATTGAGAAGGTAAGATTACCACCTGATGCTGAGGTCAATTTAGGAAATGTCTATCATCCATATGCTGCTTAAGTCTTCCACTTACCTCCCAGAATGATGCAGAGAAGGTGGCAGTGGTCATCATGGACAAAGAGCATCATCCAGTAGAGAGATTTGTGTTTGAGATTTCCCAACCTCCGCTGCTGTCCATCAGGTTGTTTTTTTAAGCTCAGTAATGAGTATAAACAACATGCTTATTTTCTGATATATTTTCAGGTTGATTGTGGCCACTAACTGCCTGTGGTTTTGTTGTTACAGCTCAGACACATTACTATCACATGTGGAGCAGCTGCTGAGGGCATTCATCCTGAAGATCAGTGTGTGTGATGCTGTTTTAAATAATAACCCACCAGGTAACCTCACCGATTATTATGCCTCTTTGATATTTAACACATTTTTCCCAAACATTTTTAAATTGAAATGACTTGCTACTGTCAGTTCTTGTTTCTTTATCACTCTCAGATCATTTTGATTGACAGACCTTTTTCACAGCAGACATTTTTGACTTGTCATTGTTGCTAAAAAGTAAAGTTGGAATTAATAACATGAACAATGGCTTTGTTCCAGTCATTAAATGCAAAACAGTGCCGCAATTGATAATCTTATTAGTTACATTTTATTTATGAACTTTCACTTAATTAATCCTCATGTGTAATACGTAGGAATTCCAGTATTAACAGAATTGATCACCTCCTAAACAATGGATAAAGCACTTTTTTCCAAAATACTAAAGCCATCAGACTGTAGTGGCCCAACAAGCCTATTAATCAAATGCTGCCAGGTTTTAAGATGGCTTTGGTTAGGGCAGTGATTGTAATTAATGTCTGCCAGTCCTAGGAAAGGAGGCAGGATTTGTGTGCAACCTGAGGAGCAGTAAGCCTATGAGATGTAATTCAGGGTATAAAATTTAAGTCCCTGAGACAACTCTGTACTGAAAATACAACAAAGTGTTATTGAACAAGCAAACAAGGAGGTCAGTTACTTATCTGAGTTGAAAGTCCAGGGAGTAGAGATTTAGAAGAGAATCACGCTTGTAGAGAAAATGACTTTAAGGAGATGATATGACATGTAAATAATATGCTGGAAGAGGTACAAAGCATACACATTTAGTTGTTTTTATATTTATTTATTTTTTGTCACAGGGTGTTCATTTACAGTACTAGTACATACCAGAGATGCTGCTACACGCAACATGGAGAAGGTTCAAGTCATCAAGGTGAGGTTTTAAAACACTGCAAACCTATATATTAATTCATGATGTATGGCTGCTAATACTAACAGAGCAGCCTGTTTATTTCTTGCTAGTATTGTAATCAGCAGTAATGGGCAAAATGAGGCAAGGCAAATGGGTTTATATAGAATGTTTCATACCCAAAGGCAACCCATGATGCTTTACAGAGTACACAAGCAAAAGCACAAAAACAATAAAAGCAAGCAGGAGCACATAGTTATATAACAATATGTAAACACTGAATAATTATATACATGTGTTGTCACATTTCTGCATTTCCCTCTTCAGGATTTTCCATGGATAGTTGCTGATGAGCAGGAGGTCCATATGCAGGAGCCTAGACTCATCCCACTGAAGACCATGACATCTGACATAGTAAAAGTGAGCAGAAACATCCCCCTCACTGATAGATAACTTTATCTGTTCAAAGACAAAAACATAGGCACCAAAATCAAGGTTTCACTGTGTTGTTTAGGTTAACACTTGCTAATACTGATTGTCTCTGTCTGAAACAGATGCAGCTCTACGTGGAAGAGAGAGCCCAGAAAACGTAGGCCCTCGCTCTGCAGTAAGAAGGGAATGGTACTGCTGTATGAGCCAATCTGTGACGATTGGCGTCAAATCATGGGCGTTGTTTAGAACACAGCCTATCAGAGCTGGAAGAGTCAGAAAGAGCCATCAGTTTTTAAACACATGGGATCATCAAGAAAGAGATGTGGATTGTGTATATGAGGTGTGAACATTATCCTGCATTTAGTGTTAAGGTTTGGACTGACACTGGGCTGACATTTCATTAAGAATCAAATCTGCTGCGGACTGTCCGCTGTCTGTTTTTTGATAGCATGCTATACAAATATGAATGAATGTTTTTTATTTTATTGTCATGTACTCTCTTTTATGGCTTTCAAAGCAGATCTTTTGTGTAAAATGATGATTGAAATGTAGTAGTCATGGAGTACCATGACAGTTTCCAGAGGAAATGGAATAGACCAGTATAACAATCAACAAAATATCAATCAGCAGGTTCTAAAAACCACTGCTATCAGTTTAACTCTTAGCGGAGTTGAATTTTCACAGCAACAAATATTCAATATCTGTTTCTCTTTGTGGGGAAATTGTTTTGCTAATGCTCCCCTAGAGAGGTTGTCTTTCCACAGGAAAGCCACAATTTAGGTCATCTTGCTCCATTTGATGGACAGTGTTTTCTCCCACCATAATGTCCCACTGAGCCACCACAGTTCTGTGCATGGTGTCTATTATTGGACAGGGATGCAATGTAAATGTTTTGGGTGAGTTCCAATGGAATAAAATGGACCATGGTCTGATTTCTTGTGCACATTTGCAACCAGAGATAATGTTCGCTTCCATTGTTATGTGACAAATTCAAAGTTTTGATGGTTGTGACAAAGGAACAGTTTTAACTTTTACTGCTGACACCAATGTCATTTGATATGTGAAAAAATATTAAATTGTAACAAAAATCTTAATATGTTACTAAAGCAAGAGCTACCAATCACCCTTGGTAACAAGCCAAACCCATTCTTCCATATGTAGTAACACTGATTGCAGATGGCTGAAAGTCTTCACCGCTTCAACAGCACCACACACCAGAAGATATTTATTCACTGACCTCACTTCCGAGAATGTATTGACAGTTGAGTCCTTCTAACTGACTGCTGTCTTTAGGTAACCAGTAAAGTTCAGTCTTCTCTGACGTGGCAGTTCTGGAAGAGCAACTTTCTTAACAAGACATCTAGCTTTACCTATTCCTCTGTTAGAAACAGACTGGTTCTTTGGATTAAAGATAAGTCTGTCTGGTCGGTCTGTGTGTTAAAATCATGGGATACTTTTAAAAAAATGTCTTTGTTCAGCCATGGTGGTTACAGCTGCTCAAAATGCAGCAGACCATAGTAGTAGACAATGGGTATTTAAATAACCAAATATAGAACATATCGTTATGACCATTATAGCCAGTTATGTCAACGGGTGACCAAACTGAGTTTTAGCTTAAAGATATGCTGTATGTCATACATTAATACTCAAACACATGAAATACTTGGGTCTACTTTGAGGTTGTGTGGTGGTGGTAGAAGAAATACTTAGATCTTTTACTCAATTATATGTAGCAATACCACAGTGTAGAAATACGCTAAGTAAAAACAAACAAACAAAAAAAAGTACTGATTATGCAGATGGGCCCACTGGCTGATAATGTATAGTAATGAATTAGAATTATTTATGCATTTATAAGTACACTGAAGGTGGTGCTTATATTTATTATATATTCTGCCCGGTAGCATACAGTATCTGACAGAGTGGAACACACTTCTGCTGTATCATTACAGAGGAATAAGTCTGCCTTACCGAAAGGATATAACACAGTTACCAATTCGTAGACAATTCTGTTTCATGTGTTAATATCACAAGGTGGGAAAGCAAATCACAAGTCTAATGAATATAATGTCGCTCTTGCAGCAGGAAGAAAAGTAGCCATCCAGGATTCAGAGACTCACATCAGACTGATTTGCAGGACTTTTGATGCCCAGTCTCCTGCAACAGTGGATTCTTCAAGTAAGAAAAGAAAAATGACGGATCCCAAAGCAAATGATTGCAGCATATTGATGCCACTCTCTTTGAAGTGCTTTCTACAGTGGTGGTTGGTCTGATAAAGAATTATACACTCACTGGCTATGTTATTAGGTACACCTGTTCAATTGCTTGTTAACACAAAAAGCTAATCAGCCAATCACATGGCAGCAACTCAATGCATCTAGGCATGTAGACGTGGTCAAGACAACTTACTTAAGTTTAAAGCAAGCTTCAGAATGGGGAAGAAAGGGCATGTAAATAACTTTGAACATGGCATGGTTGTTGGTGCCAGACCGGCTGGTCTGAGTATTTCAGAAACTGCTTATCTACTGGGATTTTCACGCACAACAATCTCTAGGGTTTACAGAAAGAGAAAATATCCAGTGAGCGGCATGTCAGAGGTCAGAGGACAATATGCAGACTGTTTCAAGATGGCAGAAAGGCAACAGTAACTCAAATAACCACTCGTTAACCAAAGTATGCAGAATACCATCTCTGAACGCACAACACATCGAACCTTGAAGCAGGTGGGCTACAGCAGCAGAACACCACACCAGGTGCCGCTCCTGTCAGCTAAGAACAGGAAACTGAGGCTACAATCCACACAGGCTCACCAAAATTGGACAATAGAAGATTGGAAAAACGTTGCCTGGTCTGATGAGTCTCGATTTCAGCTGCAACATTCAGATGGAAGGGTCAGAATTTGGCTTAAACAACATGAAAGCATGGATCCATCCTGCCTTGTATCAAAGGTCCAGGCAGCTGGTGGTGGTGTAATGGTGTGGGGGATGTTTTCTTGGCACACTTTGGGCCCCTTAGTACCAACTGAGCATTGTTTAAACACAAAAGCCTACCTGAGCATTGTTGCTGACCATGTCCATCGCTTTATGACCACAGTGTACCCATCTTCTGATGGCTACTTCCAGCTAGATAATGCAACATCTCAAACTGGTTTCTTGAATATGACAATGAGTTCACTGTACTCCAGTGGCCTTCAGTTACCAGATCTCAATTCAATAGAGCACCTTTGGGATGTGGTGGAACGGGAGATTTGCATCATGCATGTGCAGCCGAACATATCTGGAGCAATTGCGTGACGCTATCGTGTCAATATGGACCAAAGTCTCACCTTGTTGAAAATATGCCATGAAGAATTAAGGCAGTTCTGAAGGCAAAAGGGGGCCCAACCAGACATAATATCATAGTAGTACTTAGATATATGTGCCATGGTTTTGGATTTTATTTATTTAGTTTTTAGTTATTTAATTCTAGATATGTCTTCTGGTTTTTGATTCTTGCTTGCTCCCTTCTGGATTTGTTTGCCTGTGTCAACTGCTTTCCTGGTTTGGACCCTTGCCTGCCTCGCTTTGCTGTAAGCCTGTGTACATTTTGATTTCATCATTAAAGAGTGTTGAATTTACCCCGGTGTCTGCAATTGGGTCAATCCCTTGTGTACCTGTTTCCAGCTTGAACAAACTGACATTGTGCAGACAAAATTTGATACTTTTTCTCTTCAATATTTAGTTGACTCTGCTGATACATGTTTGCAACATTTGTTTTATCAAGACAGCAAATATTAATTAGAGTAGATGTCACAAACTTTAAGATGAATTTAAATTCCATGTATAAAAATGACGACATGATGTTAATGATCCAAACAAAATCCCATCAGAAATGGACATTTTACTTCCAATAATTATATCAATATCCATCTTCAACCGCTTATCCTGCGTACAGGGTTGCGGGGGGGGGGGGGGGGGGGGGCTGGAGCCAATCCCAGCTGACATCGGGCGCAAGGCGGGGTACACCCTGAAAAGGTCACCAGTCCATCGCAGGGCATTATATAATTATTGAATGTA